TGCCTAGATTGTCCAAATTATCAGATTTAACTTGTTTTAAGAATGCGTTAAATGTTCGGAACCAATAGGTCCATTGCATAGAAGCGTCAGGTGCATTAAATCAATATGGAATTTGTGTGGACGAAGATAGCAATCCATGGAAATGTTAGACCAGTGAATTGGTGTGTTAGACGAAGATAGCACAACAAACGGAATAACTCGGAGACGGAGGAATACACTTTACTTATCTAACAGCAATGTAAAAGTGCATGTTTTGTTAGGTAAAAATCAGGTGAGCGAATGAAATGTGGTAATACGGCATTTCTTTGAAGGTTCTCAACGCCTTTTATGGTGCGTTCGCATCAAGTCTTAATAATTTCTATTTTCACTTAGTGTGTTACATCATACACACACTTGTGGCACTCTGTACAAATTTTACTTTATGATCTATTGTTTCACTAGAAATGCTGTCAGCAACTGGACCGCTGTACAACCTCTCCAGCTTCTTTGAATCCAGTCATAGAATCCCTACAGGTGTTGAATACGATTCGTAGCCAGCACTGCCAGCGTTAATCACCTCTGTGGGAGACTTTGATGGTTTGGTGTTTACATTTTAATTCTAAGATTCAAATGCCGTCCCATATGGAAATTTCTGTACGATTCTCTTTCTTACCGGAGCCACTGGTGACCAAAAGCCAACTAAGCGTAGTTTAATGCGAAACCACTTGCAACAAACCTTCCACCGCTTGCTCGCATGTGACCGTTTTCCCTAGCTTTATTTCACATGACCTTTTTTGTGACGAAGACTAGGATTACTTATATAGCGCAAGCGAAGACAACCAATCACCGCCACCATGTTAGTAAATAAGGACCACCAATGATAAGCGTGGTTTGGCTCATGTGAGCAATGAGCGTGTTCACCGTCGCGTATTTGGTGCAGGAGGAACGAGTGAACCGCGCAACACCTTTATCTCACGCTCCGATGACTGGACCAGGTGTTGCGTGTCATCAACAGCAGTACATCAGACATTTGAACTGATGCTTCGCTGCCATACAACCATGAGGACCTATGAAATACCAGCACAACGACTCCCGCGACGTGTGTTGCTTACGCGACCGGTATGTGGATAGAAGAATAGGAGAGGAGACCAACTGATGACTTAGCCAAGAGGAATGGGGTCTCTCACTTCCAACTTGGCGTCGGTTGGTGTCTCCATACTGCCGTGCTGGGGTTCTAAGCACGATGCTCACGTTTAGCGCCGACGATATCGCTTTGCTGGGGGACGACCCACAAATCGTCCAGAGCGCTTTGGACCGCTTAGTGATGGAGGCGTGTAAGTACGGCTTATGCTTCACTCCGGGAAAATGTAAAACGCTGCTCCAGGACTGGCAGGTGCCTGAAGCCGCGCTCACCATTGCTGGACATGTTCTGGATCAAGTCCCTTGCTTTACTTATCTAGGGTGTTGCATCACGGCTGGTGGTGGTGTTGGAGATGAAGTCTCACAACGGATTGCAAAGGTCCACCTTGCATTCATCAAACTGAGACACCTATGGCATCTTCGTGATGTTAGTCTCAAGCTCAGGGGCAGGGTGTACAATGTTTCCGTCCTTGCAGTACTCTTGTACGGCTGTGAGACTTGGCCTATTCGCTCGGAAGACATGAAGTGGCTGTCAATTTCCGACAATCGCTGTCTACGAAGGATTGCTCGGGTGTGTTGGCAACACCACGTAAGCAACGCAGGGGTACCGGACCGCGTGCTTGGGGCGAATAGTGCCAGTCTTCAGGACCTTATTCTCCTACATCGCATGTGTTGGCTCGGGCACGTTTTGTGCATACCAGCCCATCGCCTTCCACGTCAAGCGCTATTTGCACTCCCAGGGATCGATTGGAAAAAGTGCCGCGATGGACAGCCAATGCCGTGGAGAAGGAGCATGAAGAAGGCAACCTCAAGTTTGGCGGCAGTCGGACCAGTCCGTCTTCCAGGTTGGGGACCACAAGATGCTGAATCGCAGTGGTTGGAAACATTGGACGTCATGTCCCGCAACAGACATCAGTGACGTCAACGTTGTTCTGCCATTATTTCCCCCCTTTAATACACACAAACTACACAAGAAATTCAAAATGGCGTGTGTACAACCCAAAAAATATTTTCCTATCTTTTTACTCGCAGTTCGTGTTCCTCTCTTCACTTTTTTCTTCTGTCATGGTTCTGATGGCCCAATGTCTATTAACAGACTGTGAAT